TACTTGCCGACAAGAGGTGGCCGGTGATCTAAGTGAACTGAAAAAGTTTGCCCCAGTGGCTAAATGGCTACGAGATCGTCTTGTCATCTAAAGGTTCTGGGTTCCAATCCTATTCGGTGCAAACTGTCGAAGAGTCTTGAACTAGGACTGGACAGCTGCCTGGTACTCTCTGCTCTTCAGTGGTGCTCTAACTACTAATATTAATCCATATATAAGAGAAGTTTTGACTAAGGTTCAATTTGGTGTCACTTAACTGATGATGGCTATCAGAGGGGTTTCCGAGAGGTGCTTTTTATCCTACTTGAGGCTGGGCAGCTGAATGTGCCTGCATCCTAGATGAGTGATGATATCTCCATTGAAAGTCGAGCCCTTCACCCATCATCATTTAAAACGCCAAAGTATTATCCAACAGGTCACCAGAGCTACATATTTTGCCATGGGTATCACGCTATACTACAAGTCAAAATACCAAATCGTAATAGATTTGATGGTAGTACATTAATTTTAGTTCCAAAATAAAATTTAGCATGGAAGGTTCAATATGATTGCAAAGTGTTGATGATTGTACGAAGGAGTCTGGCCTAAGGATAAGTTTGGAAGAAGAAGTATACATATCTATTTTGATGTCTTATTTTGAAATCGAAGAGATTGCCTGTCTATTTTCTCCATTAATTATGTCTGTGAATTTAATCTTCACTTAAAAATATGCTCTTAAGCCCTCACTAATAAAGGTAGATGAGTCCTACTTGTACAACTAAGACAAAAACGCTATTCACATAAATTAATTCTTGCTATTGTCATTTTAATTTCACTAGTTCGTATGAAGTTGTACTCTATCATCAACATAGACACTTTCTATTTATTTATTTTTTTATTACAGCTTGATTCCACACAGTATTTTGGTACAAGTATGAAATTTTCAGCTTGTGATGTCGGTAGCCCAAATTTAGCCGGCCGACCATAGATATCAGGTGTGCGTTGGCGGGGGATCGAACCTCGGACCATGTGAATGGTCGGCGAAAGTCCTAACTGTTGTGCCATCGAAGCCCATCAGTGTGAATCGAGATTATTTTTTATCGAGCTGCTTTCGCTAACTTACACCGTCTCTGACGTAGGCATGACATCCGGCTATCAACCAAGGGACGTGTGCACTGCTCAGCAGTTCGCTCCGTTCTTCTCTATGGCTCTGAATCATGGCCAATACGAGTTGAAGACATGAAAAGGTTGACTGTTTTTGATCATAGATGTCTTCAATCTCTTTCTCACGTTAGTTAGCATAATAAGGTAAGTAATGTTGACGTTAGGCGTAGAGTGTTGGGCAAAGAGGGAAAATCAATCGAAGAGGCTATAAAGTTACATAGATTGAGATGGCTAGGTGACGTGCTGCGCATGCCTAACCATCGCCTCCCCCGACTGACGGGCATTACTAACTTATATAGGTGCAGGTTGGAAAAGAGTAAGTGGTGGCCAAACGAAAACATGGCATCAATCCATAAAATCCTTGACAGTTAAACTGAGTCAGGTAGGGAGGGAGATGCAGACTTCCGGGTTGGGGCCCGCCCTCGGGACTCTAGGAATCAATGGCTGGAGACAGACACTAGGTGACATGGCTCGAAATCGTTGTCAATGGCTTACGCAGATGTATTCAGTCTCTGTAATCTTTCATATTCCTTTCTACCATTACTCATTCTGTTTCACTCTTATACTTGTCAAAACTCTATTGATTCTCTTCACTCATTTCCCTGTCTACCTTTGTGTGCACTTTGGAACGTGGCAACTGGAACTGCTGCACTTCGGTGCCAAGTTCTATGTTGAATCCATATAGACAGATTATCGCGGATTGGTATCAGTTAGAGAACCATTGTAAACTATAAGGGAATACTGGACATCTGTCTCATCCTAGCTTGGGACTCATCATCAGCACGGATTCGTCAGGTTCTGGACTCAGGACGTTCCAGTTACAGCGAAAGCCACTGAGGCTAGTCGATGAAATTGTTTGCTGGTTGTGCTAAAATCACGAATTGGTAGAAGTTAGAATTCATGGGCCTGCCATTGAATCGGGTCCCAGTTGCTGAATGGTATACGAGCTTGCCTTGTAACTGGAAGTTACTGGGTTCCAGAGCCACCTGTGGTGGGTGGTCACTGTCGATGAGTCCCAAACTGGGACAATGGAAACAGCTGTTCAGTACTTCCTGCTAGTTTCCAGTGCTTCTCTAACTGATATCAATCCGTGGTCAAACTCAAAAAACAAATCTAATCCTTACAAATCAACTCTTGAAAAGAGATTTATTTATCATAATCTCAGTCAGTGATAACTGTTTTTGATGCAGTTTAAAAATTTAAACAAGAAACTGTTTTGAACTGTTTTGTTTTAACATAATTTCCTTTTTTATGATGCAATTAAAAACAAAAGGGTGGTAGTTTGGTAAATTATGAAAAAAAGTTCCCAATGGTTGAGAGGTATTCACCCTTGATGACCCACAGATTTATAGAACAGTTATCCTTATTCTCCATGGAATTGCTTCCATATTTCACCGATTGCCTTAAATTTACTGTTTTCCTCTGTTTTCATGTGTGATCTTATGAGATGTGTAGCAACTTGAGGACTTTCGCACTCCCGTGCAAAGTTCCATGTTGAAAATCCAGTCCATTTCAACAAAACGTTGATAACAATTCTCTATATTTTTAAAAGCAGTTGTACATATTTCTTGGATAATGCCAGTAAACGTAATATCAATCATAGTATTCCATATTTCATGACATCACTGGGACATTTTGATGAAAAGGGAGAAGTTAGAATTTACAAGTTATTGAATCCCCAACTTCAGTGGTTGGATGACAAATCGACTTGACTTATCACCTAAAATCTAGTTTTGATAGCTAGTGATGTCATGAGAGTGCACTGCTGGTTAGTCCTAGCAGTTGTGGCGGAACTGCTGTTTATTAGTTCTTGTTTTTCAGTGATTGTCTTCCTAAATCTATGTCTAAACTAGCTTGAAGCCCTATGTTCCACTTGATAGGTAAAGGAATAAGAAAACTCCCTTGCGTTCTGAGGGAAACACTAGACTTCAGTAGGACATTTCTTTAAACAGAGGTGATGAAGATTCCTGACCAACAGCAACACCAACAACAGACAACAGTCAGCACAAATGGGAGGAGTCTGAAAGAAGCGACCTCCTTCACCTACCTACCTACCTACCTACATACCTTGGAAGCATCGTTTCAACTACAGGCGGACGGAACTGATGAGGATATTGAAGCGAGGATCGGGAAAGCAAGGCAATTCTTCATTACTCTCAAGTCTGTGTGGGGGTAAACAACACTCATCATGAAATTCAATCAATTAATAGTGCACTTTGGACGAACTTGTGCATCATGAAGAGCACCTCGAACTCTACACCTTCATCGACAGGTGTCTTCGCTCAATACTTCACTCAAGATCTGATGAACGACCAGAAAATATCAGCAAGAGGGAAGCATCTCTGGCAATGGAGGAACCAACCCAGTAGGAACCAACTGTGCAACAAGTATGCAGGAAGAAATGGAGGAGACAAACCATCAAGTGAGTGACATCACACACCAGGCCATCAGTCGAGTGGAACCTGAATAGGAAGAGGCAAACTGGTCGTCAGTGCGAGGGTGACATGGAGTGGAGGAGGTGATGTGAAGAGGAGATGAAAGCCAATGGACAGGCTCGAAGCCAGGTGAAAACGTTGGAGGAGAGCCGAAAGCAATTAAGACGTACGTGGCTGAAGCCTTATGTTCCTCTAGAAACTAAAGGAAACTAATGATTTCAGTGGGATGAAATTCTGAGAAGAATTGTAATATTAATAACCGATAATATCTATTCAGTGTGAATTATCATGATACATTATTATTAGGAATTGACAAAATCTAATAAACGTACTCTAAAATTTTTTGGCCATATTTACAATTTTATCCTCTGTGGCTTGCTTAAAACTTGAACTACCGAAACTCCTGCACCACTGTATTGCATATAACTCCACCTGTTCACTTTATTATTAATCGATTAAAATATGACCTCTCATGGTAGGATTTACTCTCGTGAGTATTTGAAGTGTTTATAATAACCGGCTGATTTGCAAGTTTCTGTAAAAACTGATAAAAAACGCATAGATGAGATAACTGCTCCTGAGTTATGTTCTGGAGTCTCGAAATATGCTCTTGAACCTTTTATATAATTGGCTTTCAACCAAAATATCGTGGATTTGTCGATGGAGACAAAGAAGCCGTATCAGAATGGATCGGTTTGCACTCTAGATATTATTATTATTGTTTCCTTTAATTCCTAGAGGAACATAGGGCTTCAGCCGTGCGTCTCCATTGCGTTCGGTTCTCTGCTAGAGTCTTCACCTGGCTCCAAGTCTGCCCACACGTTTTCATCTCCTCTTCACATGACCTCCTCCAAGTCACCCTCACACTGACGACCAAACTCGCCGCTTCCCTTTCAGGCTACACTCGAGCAATGGCTTGTCTAGTGATGTCACTTGATGGTGTCCTCAGAGTATGACCAATCCATCTCCATTTCTTCCTGCCTATTTGTTTCACAATCGGTTCCTGCCATGTTGGTTCGCTCATTCCAGAGATCTCTGTTGCTGATCTTTTCTGTCCGGCCATCTGATCTTGAGTATTGAGCGACGACAACTGCAAATGGAGGTCTGTAGTTTGCTTGAGATGCTCTTCATGACACGCTGGCCAAGTCTCTGATCCGTAAAGTGAGTAGCACTGACTTCACATTGGAGTTGAAAATCCGGATCTCTAGATAAGACAGTATGATGTCATGCAATAAACTTTGCTAAAGATTCTGTACATTATATCAGCATTATCTATAATAAAGCTATTGTTAATATTATTCTAGGAGTATCGTTTCCTAGGACAGATGTATCAGCATTAGCTCTTTTAAATATCAATCGTTTCGTTATAATAATCAGTCGGTCATTTAACAATAAACCTTTTTCTATGTTTGAATATCCTTATAGTTTATGCAATCCAAATCATAAAGAAAATCTTGGCATGACTGTTCAATATCGTGTAAAAGTTCGACTGGTTCTGGGATTTGTTTCAAGGTGAGAATCTATATATATATATATATATATATCATTCTACTAGCATTTTTTCCTGTTTGATAATACAATCATCTGTGATAGCATTCAGTTGACAGACTATTGTTTGTGATTGTAGCGGGTGAACAGTTGAAGGTGATTTGGTGGCAGGATTCAAACCAGCGGCCTATGGATTACCATTCTGCTAGTTAGAAGAGTCCTGTCGCTATCAAAATGTTTTTATTTCACCTACATTCATCAGCGGTTACTTTAATAACAGTCTGCTAATCCAAAGGTCGTATAGCGAAGGAAAGAGATGATGGAGGTAACCAACCAGCAACAAAAAACACCAATCACCATCAACGGATGAAATTTGAATGAGGTCACCTCCTTCAATTATCTAGGCAGGATCGTGTCAACTACGGCCGACTTCGCAGATGAGGAAGTCAAAACTGCAGTCAGAAAGTAAACGTAGACCTTCATCAGTTTTAAATATGTCTGGAAATCTTTTACGCTAAGTGTAAACAATGAAATTCGGATTCACGGAGTTGTTGCATTTGGGACAGGCCACTACAGACTTTTATCTACAACTGCCCACTATGCTGGCTGCATATTGAAGATCATATGGCCAGCCATAAAGTATAAGCAACAAGAAACTCTGCAGTGAAAAAAACCAGTCAAGAACTTGTCACTCAACAAATATGTAGGGAAGCCGTGACCAGTAGGGTACAGCAGGTTGAAGATGAGGCAGTAACTCATCTAAGAAGACATTGCGAAATGGTCACGCTATGTCGTGAATTGGCAGAAGTTAGAATTCAAGGACCACTGTATCGGGTCCCAGTGGCTCAATGGTCTACGAGGTCGCCTTGTAACCAGAAGGTCCTGGGTTTGAATCCCGGTGGGCGCGTACTGATGAAGAGTCCCAAACTAGTCCAGTACTTCCTGCAGGTTTTCCAGTGGTTCTCTAACTGATGTCAGCTCATGATGAAATCTTCCATGCAAATATGTAGGAGAAAATAGATGTGGATCGGACGCAAACTGGGAAGACCGTCAGTTGACATCAGGCTCTAGGTCGCCTCTCGAATGTGAACAACGAGTAGGGCGTTTGAGGGTGGAACGAAGAAGATAAAAGCCTATGGGCGACCTGAGGCTAGCTGAAGATGACTTCAGAAAGGGGAACAAAATGGAGATATGTTGTTGAAGCTTTGTATTCCCTTGGAACCCAAGGGAATAACAGTAACAATACAATGATTTAAAGATCATACACTTAATGTCACAACCAACTATAAATTATGGTTGAAATTTGAAATTTTCTTATGAACAACACAGTTTACGTGGTTATGAGCCATTTTATCAGGCAAATCACGTATACAGCACACTAATGAAGTATGAAAGTCATCTCACACTGAAAATGTAATTTCCAAAACTTACTCATATTCTACCTCCTGCTGCTGTTGTCTCCGACTTCGTCTCCACTATTCTACATAAATAACTGAATGGCTCATTTTATGTTACTTGAAGGGTAACCAGTTGATTATCAATGTATGCCTTTTAGGAAAACCATTATGCCATGTCCTGTGTGTAGATTCTTGTCATTAGTACACATGAAGATACTTTTCAATGTAAGACAAAAATTATAATAACTTGCGATGAAGACTGTTTATGGGTTAATAAAATATCGAGTGAATAAGATTATCGCCTCCAATGTTTCTTGTTGTTGTAGTGCTCATAGTGAGATCGATTAGTCACTAGGGAGTGATCAGTGTTGCGTTCCTATTTCTTAGTGGCACTTACAGAATTCTATCAGTCAAGTTTGTCATATGGTCACCAGCCTATAGTACTACTACTACAACTAATGTTGTTGTTCCCTTGTCTTCCAAGTGGAACATGCGACTTCAACAGTACATCTTCACTTAGTCCTATTCTCTGAGGTCCTCTTTAGCTGGAGCTGTGATTGCTCATAGTCTCTTATATCCTGCTCACACGGTCTACTTCATGACACCTTTGAAGTGACGCCGAACCCATCGTTTCCCATTCGGGTTCCTGGAGGTGTGTCAGTTGGTGAAAACAGCATCACGTATAGCATGTAGTCATGCAATGAGATGATGACGTTCAGTTTGATAGGCAGTGTTGCTAGTGTGTGTGTGTACGTGTTTGTCTGTGTGGATGTTGTTTTCTTTGTTGCTGCTTCTGTGTGAGTTTGTTTGTGCATGTGTGTTCATGAGTGTGTTTGAGTGTTGGTTTGATTGTTTATTTGTGTGTGTTTCTTTGTTGGCTTGAAAGTGCTTGTCACCGCCTCGAGGGTGGAGACAAGGTGAGTTGGAGTAGCTGGGCATCGATCCCAGTACCTCTCGCATTCTAAGCGAGCGCTCTGCCATTTGAGCTAGTACTCGGACAATTCGCCTCCCCATCAACACCCTATCTCCTACTACAACCAAAAACGCACAATCAACTACCATCAAAATACAGTCCTCACACTCTGGAGGACGATGTCACCTGATGGTCTCCTCAAAGTGTATCTGATCTATCCCTATTTTGTTCGGAATGTTTGTTGAGTAAAAAGTTGTCGAGTGAATGCTTCCCAGAGTATCTTGTTTCTAATTCCTTCTTTCTGGCTGTCTGATCTTTAGTATGTAGCCAGTGAAGCGGGCGGATGTTGGTAAAAGTCTGCAGAAGCCAAGTTCTTGACCCAGGTAGAGGAACTGACGTAATGTTGGTTTTGAAAAAATTCGTCACCAATCTAGGAGAATCTGAATCGTGGTGCACTTTTCGAATTAGTGTTAGACAGTTGTAGGCAATCGCAAAGACCCCTTGGACTTAAGTTGTATGCTTATTGGTAATGTCTTTAACTACACACCACAATGAATGATGCGGCTTTCGACCTCCGAGAAGGGCTCAGTCTTCTTCAAGCTTGCAGATATGCATTGCAGACAATCGGCAATAAGCACAGATTTTTTGGCGATTTTAACGATAACATCAGTTAAATTGATCATTGAATTTCGCTTTTTCGCTACAGTCATTGTATCAATCTCTTTTACTACTATAAGATGTTAAGATATTTTTGGTGAATTTTTGAAATTTATGTTACAATGTATTGAATAAAAGTTATATTCCCTTGAGAGTAAGTGAGAGAGATTTGAAAATTTCCTTTTATTCTGTTGTTGACAAAAAAACTAAACTCATTGTCATAAAAATAAGCCGATATATGAAAACAAGGTCCCATTGGATTTTTTTTTCTAAATTGTTGACTGGAGCATATTGACAGTTAAATAATAATTAAAATGGTTGCTTTGAGCCAACACATGTGATTCTCCTATTGTCTGATGAAATTGCGTGCATCAAAAACAATCACATGTAGAAGTATAATAAAAAAAATTACGCATAGTTATTGAATCAGTGAAAACCAGGGTTTCGGGGGGGGAGGGTTAACTGGATAGGTATTTTGTCCTAGTTTCGGACTGGCTAAAAACCCCAGAGTTTGAGTATAAATCTCTAGTTCTCCAGTGGCTATCCGATGGATGTCCAGAAGTAGTTCCTTTATGGGAATGACCTCGTTTGATAGTATTGGCTTGTGATAGAGCTATATCGTCAATTTATAGGAGTTAGAATTCATGGTCTGTCCTTGTAACCTGAAGGTTCTACTTATATGGTGAGATCATGGATATCCGCCTCTGAAAAGACCCAAGCTCCACTGAAACTAATGTTAACTGCTTCATAGTCTTCAATAGTTAGCCCTCTAAATGTTGTCTGTTCTTGAAAAAATCCATATTGACAGATTAGTCAAAATCCCTACAAAAAATCTAAAACCTGATAATTAGTGTGTGTTGTTGTCCTTTTTTTCATTCCTTTACCTTCCCAGTAGAGTATAGGGCTTCAAGCTAGAGGCTTGGAGTTTCTGTAGCACTGGTGATTATTTTTACAGGATGAGGTTGCTGCTATCCTCATGCCCAACCTTCCCTCTTTGCCAGTCCTATTACTGGCTTATCGAGGTATCGAGGAGTGCGTCTGTTGCCGGGGATTGAACCCCGTACCACCTGCATGGCTGGCAAACATCCTACCGCTGTGCCACTGACGAACTTTTTCACCTATAGATAAATACAAATGGAGTGTTGCATTGTACATATATATACATGCATGTATCTTTTTTTCTTCAGTGATGTCAGCGTTGAACTACCGTTTACACTTACTCATCCAAAACCTGATCCAGAAACTGATGGAGGTCTGTCTAAGATTGCTGATGTTGATGAAGATGCAGCGCATACTTCACCATCATTATCATCTGAATCAAATAATCCATCAAAGTGTGGGACAAATGAAATGAAGTCATCTCATCAACAGTCAAGTAAACAAGCTACATCTAGTCAAAATGTAAATATTATTGATGATTTAATTAAATTAGACGATGGAACAAATGAAAAGTAAGTTCATTATTATTATTACTATTATTTATTTTTACTTGCATTCATTGTTTCTTGAAGTTATTTTGAGAGGTGGTCCTCCTGGTCCATTTGCGTTTGAAACTACGTATCCAAGTCTCAGAGAGAACATCACCATCATTCATTCATTCATTGAGTATGCTGGTGATGATCCTTCTGACTAGTCCAAAATTGGATCGAGAAAGCATCCCTAATTTCTCTCTACTAGGTACCACTAACCAGCCTACCAGAAAGTTAAGGCATTCAGGTACTATCATAGACCCTTAGGAAAAAGGTTTGGCTCGTTGCCAACTCCATTGGTATACAAATGGTTATTGATTGACAAATAATATTAAAATGTGTTATTTTCATATTTAATTACCTAATTAATTTAAATAATTTTCAAGTACTGGTTTTGTGGGGGATTCTGGCTTCATTGGTTGAAGGATTTCATCATGAGCTGACATTAGTTAGAGAACCATTGGAAAACCACCCAGGAGTACTAGACAACCAGCTGTTTCCTCAATCTAGTTTTGGACTCTTCAACAGCACGCACCCACCACAGGGGTTCGAACCCAGTACCTCCCGATTACAAGGGGAGTGAGCTCAGTCATTGAGACATGACTAATCCAATGGCCAACCTATGAATTCTAACTTCTGACAATTCATGACATAGCGTGACCACTTCGCAATGTCTTCTTCGATGAGTTATTGCCTCACCTTCAACCTGCTGCACCCTACTGGTCACGGCTTCTCCCTAGAACACCAGGTTAACTGACTAAATAGGGCCAGTTGCTAGTGAGCATCAGATTAATTTTCAATTTTTAACCTTGTAATCAGAAAGTCCTGAGTTCGAACCCCTTAGGTGAGTGCGTACTGATGAAGAGTCCCAAACTAGGCTCACGAAACAGCTGTCCAGTACTCCCTGAAGGTTTTACAATGGTTCTCCAACCTATGTCAGCTCATGATGAAACCCTTTAACTAATTCAAATGACTCAGTGAATCATTTATTTAGAATAAGAATTAAGACTGCGAACAGTTGCGGTTTCATTAATTTCCGTCTTCAGACAGAAAAATAGATGAATCAAAATTATATCAGAAACTGTATTATGGCACAAGTACAAGATAGAATAATAGTCAAGTGGTTATGAATACCATTCAAATGCATGTATAAAATGTGTAGTCAACAAGAACATAAAACAAAAGATAAAAGAGATTAAACAACCGGATAACGTACTTGTGTTGTGAGCAAAACGAGAACGACAAATCACGCAAAGTAATCACAAAATTCTGAATTGGTTGGATATCATGGACCTACGTTTCGTGTTTCTTTTTTGGCATTTGCCAGTAAGGTGCAGGTCTCCTTTGGGAATGAAATTCAACCTCTTAAAGTCCCCTGCCTTCAGAAAAGACGTATTAGCTGTGGTCAACCTCGAACCGCACCATCTTTTTCCTACACCAGGCTGATTGACCTAGAGGGAGTGGTATGCTTTTTACTGGAAAGTCTAAGGCATTGATGGCATCCTTCTTATGTTTTAGTACGAAGGCGTCCAGCAGATAAATCCATCGGGGGGGGGAGACCTCTGATTCTTGTTTTCCTTTCAGGAGATGAACGTTTTAGTAGTTGATCTTTATGTCGTGTTCAAGGGTCAAACGAAATTTTGGCGTGTGATGACTTAGCCGCATTAGCTTGCTTGTCGAAGTTTCTATACACAGTCTATGGTCTCCTCCCCATCAATGTGCAGTAGTTATGGCACGCTTAAGAACATCTTGTTTTTTGAGATGAGAGATTTTGGCGTCAGCTTGCGGTAATAAAGCTTATGGCGCCGGTTTCTTCAGTCTGAAAATAGGCTTAGTGCCCTTTCGGAGAAGTATAGTCTGAGCACTAATGAATTCTTGACGGGGAGATGGTGATTGGGAATGGCGTCTGCGGCGACTTCTCGAGGGTGGCCGTCGTGAGAGTCGTTGTGTGTGCTGCTGTCAAGAAACCGTCTTTGTGTCCAACCTTATTGCAGTCTTCGCATCAGTGTTATTTATACGGACACGATTTAACGGAACGTGGAGCACCATATACCAGGAGGATGATGGAGTTTTCTTCTCAGGACATCGATCGGTATTGTGTGAGTAACTGGGACAATGGACGGTTGAGGTAGGACCAGAGAGTGTTTGACCAGTAGTTGATGCAAACATGTAAGAGGTCTTGCGAACTACATCGAATTCAGTACCACCATGGCGTCCATAATGGACTCAGTCTGTTGTTAGAGAAGCTTTTCCCTTTCAAAAGATCCAGAATCTCAGTCTCCACCTTGATATTTTTAGAAAAACGTTGCGATCGAAGAGGGATGCCAAGCTGGACACAGATGCGGTAATCACTGCATATCGCCTAGCTGAGCCGCCAAGATAGACGATAGCTACCTGTTTCTCAACCCCTTCTACCTAAGGGAGAACATACAACGACGTGAGACAGTAAATGGCCACAGACGTCGGTATAAAAAAATACACCTGACCAACACAAAGAAAATATAAACATGATATTGGTTACTTTCTAGTAACCAGTCAATGCATTTATCTTAGTCCTAAACGAGATCAGTCGTGAGTTCTAATAGTCCTTATGGTAATGCTCCTGACTGCACCACTGAATGACGCGAACTTGACTCTCTCCTTCTCTCTCATTTCCATCAAGGTTGAGGATAAACACCTTGCTAATCAGTGTCAGTAACGGTAAATCCACTAGACTTATAAAACATGAGTAAATACAGATGATAGGTTGCTTATTTTTTTATAGAAAGATTAAGTACACATATAGAAATGAGAACCCTGGTGGGTGCGTACTGCTGAATAATCTCAAACTAGTACAGAACAGATGTACAGTACTCCCTGCAGGTTTTCCAGTGGTTCACTAACAGACGTCAGTTCATGATGAAATTTTCCAACCAATTTGATCCGATGCTCACTAGCGACTGGCCCTATTTAGGCAGTTAACCTGGGGTTCTAGTGGGAAGCCGTGATCAGTAGGGTGCAGCAGGTTGAAGGTGAAGCAGTAACTCACTGAAGAAGACATTACTAAGTTGTTGCGCTATGTCATGAATTTTCAGAAGTTAGAATTCATGGGTCGGCCATTGGATCAGTTGGGTGTCAGTAGCTTAATGATCTACGACCTCGCTTGGCTTGTAACCGGAAGGTCCTGGGTTCAAACCCTCGCAATGGGGTGGGTGCGTACTGATGACAAGTCCCAAACTAGACTGAGGAAACAGCTGGTTATTCAGTACTCCCGGGTGGTTTTCCAATGGTACTCCAACTAATGTTAGCTCATGATGAAATCCTCCAACCAATCAGACAAAAATCTCCTACAAACCAATACTTAAAAAATTAGAAATATGTGAATGTGAGAATTTGTAAGAGGTCAAATTTTAAATAAGATAAGAAAATACGATAAATGCACTCTCGTCAAAAGAAATAAAACGTATCATCAACACGGAATACAGAAGACATAAATAAGTTTTATGAATAATATGATAAGATCGAAACCATGGTAACAAAAGAGATAGCGCTAAATGGCTTTTGTAGCGCAAGAGTTTATCTTTACTGTTTGCATATTAACAATTTTTCCACCAATGAAAGTGTTGATGCATAAGAGAATTAAATTAAAATCTTATATTTTGCAAGTTTTACTGTGACCTACCTTTTTTATAAGCATATTTACAGACACAACAACCTTTCTTGCTGTGTATTATCCACTGAATGTACTTACTGAATTCATATTCCTCTCAGACATTGTTTTCTCCGAGGAAGTTTTGACTCTGAGCCTCTTTCATATTTGAATTCAGTGTAATGTAATTTTGTTGATTTATCCCTGCTATGATGCATTCAATGTTAGGAAAATAACGTTTGATCTGATATTTGCTAGTGACTGGCTTCATGATAAGGTTGCCCGAAGTTCTAGTGAGAAGTCATGACCAGTGGGGTCTAATATGCCAGGAGTAAGGACAAGTACTTGCCAATGATATTAGCTAATGCTTGCTCTAAAATCATGAATTCGTGTGCTATTGGGATGAGTCTTAGTGGATGAGCTTGGTCTACGGAAGATCCTGGGTTTGAAGCTCGTCAGGTGCATACTATGGAAGAGGCTGAAGCTGGAGAGAAACAGCTCTCCAGTAATCTAGTGCTGGTTCCCAACCGGCCGTCATCAATCCGTGGGCAGTTATGTCAGTTTGAAAATGTTTTTCGATCTAAACCAGGGTTTGCATAATGTGTATTTTCCGACTGATAACGTTTACTTTGGTGTGATGCTCACTCTTGCATATCCGCATGAAACAAACAGTTACACGGACTTCAACGAATGTTGTGTCACGTTCTACCTTGTCGAAAAGTCACTTAGATAGCAGTAAAATTGGAAGCAGATATCATTATTGTGTGTATGTCGTTTACACTGTATTCAGAGTTTGACAGTAAGGTCCTACTGCCGGCGAATAGATGTATTAAAAAGCAGTAACAGCAATCCCCGACATTTCTACATTCCTACCTCCTCTCTAGCGGTTCACAACTTGCGGTAAGCTCTTCATAAAGGAAGAACTCCGAAAACCAGTTCAAAAAGGTCGTGTGATTATTCTTAACTGGTTATACTTGAACTCCGTGGTCATGCTTAAGTCACATTATGTTGTTAACCCCAACCCCTATAACAAACGTATGATTTTTCTACCGTAATCGCCTATACTGGCCTGAAGATAAAGAAAAAGGTTGTGAAATGGTTGAATATGCAAGCGACTTCACTTTTGCTTTTGAAAGCTCGTTTGCTACATGTCAGTGAGTTTCATTCTTTGTTCCAATGTGATGCCAGGGCTTGTCTTTCAAAACAGCATATAAATGGGTAGGCGTACTGTTAGGTTGGGAATGGTATGTTGATCGTTAAACTCTTGTGGTTCTTCGTAGATTGAGATGGTTAGGACATTTGTCACACATGTTGAGCAAATACTGCTATTCCTCAATGTGATTAATCTTTATCA